TCGTACGCTATCTATTGCGACAGAAATGTGAAATGAATCAATTTAAAACTAACTCTGGTCGTACTCTCTCGATTCGAATGATGAGCTTCTCCGATTAATACTATATATATTGCATTTGACATTTTATTTTATTTCATTATTTTATTTTATTTGTGCTGTCATTTTCATTGTTTTTATTGCTGAATAAAAGATTGTTCCCATTATTATTATTATTATTATTATTATTATTATTATTATTATCGCAATTAGTGGATGTGTAACAGAACTAAATTCGCTGCCAGCAAAGATGGTAGGCCATAATATTATGTCCCTAAAAGATACCGCAGAGAAAACGAGATTGAAGCTGCGAAACTATTTTAAAACCAACCATAACAAAGAAATTCAATGTTTGTGCAAAGAATCAACAATCAATTGCATCAAAGTTGACAATATCCTTTCAAAATCAAATGCCCTAAAATCATCGCTCAAACAGCTGGAAGATGAAGAGTTGAATCATGTTTCAATCACGTTCTTTCGCTTGTGATTCATGGCACAATTATCTCGAAAATAAAAACCGTCATCAAAACTAATAATATTTCTCGTTGGTCAAAAACTCTAGAGAATCTTGCTGGAGTCTTCTTCAAATTTGCCAGGAAATATTTGGTACAGCAACTGCCAACAAACGCCAATTTGTTTAAATGGGGCAAAACTCCAAGTCCTTTGTGCCCTCTCTGCGGTTGTAAACAAACAAATAAACATGTGATTTCTAACTGCGGTTCCACATCCGCACTTAAAAGATACACGGAAAGACATAATAAAATTTTAGCCGCGATCACCAACCGATTGAAACTGTGTGCGCCTGCCTATTGTCGGTTGTTTGCAGATTTGAAAGTTGACGGTGTTCACCCTATATCAGATCTGTTCAACACTCTACGACCTGACATCGCCATACTACATGGCAACACAGTAGAGATCTTAGAGTTTACGGTTTGTCATGAAACAAATCTTGAATCATCCAGGCAATACAAGATCAAAAAATATTCAGACAATTTGCACAGTTATCTAAATGACAACTATAAACACTGCACAATAATTATAAATACTTTTGAAATATCACCAATAGGTTTTTATAATAATTTTAATCTATCACTTTTTAAAATTTTGTGGCCAGATTCTTTCAACGATGTATTGATAGAGACAGTTATAAAGCTATTGTATGGCATATATTGTGACAGAAGCAATTTGTGATAAATATTTGAATATACTTCACCGCTATGTACTTTTTCTAAAAATGAGCATTGTGGCAATCATTGATTACCACATTTTTACATTTTATTACATTATGTGACGTTTCATTATTTTATTTTCATAATTATTTAGTGTCTTTGCTTTGAAATAAAAGAGTTCGCATTATTATTATTATTATTAATCATAGTCAGAACAAAGAGATTCAATGCTTATACAAAGAATCGAAAATCGATTATATCAAGATCGACAACACTCTCTTAAAATCAAGTTCCATAAAATTATCGCTCAAACAATTAAAAATAAAAAGAATTGAATCGTCTTTCAATCATGTCATTTCGCTGGAAAGTTAGGGCACAATTATCTCCAAAAGAAAAATCGTCATCAAAGCTAACAACATTTCTCGTTGGTCAAAAACTACGGAGAACTTTGCTGGAGCCCTCTTCAAATTTGTTAGGAAATATTTAGTGCAGCAACTGCCGACAAACGCTAATTTGTTTAGACGGAGAATTTTGCTGAAGCCCTCTTCAAATTTGCTAAGAAATGTTTAGTGCAGCAACTGCCGACAAACGCTAATTTGTTTAGATGGGGCAAAACAACAAGCCCTCTATGTCCTCTCTGTGGCTCTCCGCAGACGAATAAGCATGTGGTTTTTAACTGTAGTTCCACCTCCGCTCTAGCAAGATACACCGAAAGACAAAAGATTTTAGCCGCGATCACCAACCGGTTTAAAGTATGTGAGCCTGCCATTTGTCGGTTATTTTCAGATTTGAAATTTGACGGTGTTCAGCCTACATCGGATCTGTTCAACACCCTACGTCCCGACATAGCCATACTGCAAGGCGACGCAGTCGAGATTTTGAAATTTTAAGACGATTTGTTCTATTCCAATTAATAATTGAACTTCATATGTACGACATTTCATTGACGTGGATAGAAAATACATTAGACCTTCTGATAACAGAGACTGTGAGAGATTCTATATTTTATAAGTAGCCAGTGCAAGAGAACAAGATATGGAGATATATGAGAAAAGAAAGGGGTACGAGCAACTAGACGAGCAGCAGGATTAAAAGCTTTACTTAAAGGATAGAGTATAGAATTAGGAAGACCATAGTAGAGTGAGTTACAATAATCAATCCTAGATAAGACTAACGAAGTAACAAGAAGGAAAAGAGTAGGATCATCAAGAAAAGGCAAAAGTTTTTTATTTTACGTAGATGAAAATAAGAGCTTCTAGCAACACTATTAATCTGAGAAGAAAAAGACATGGTAGAAACAAAGATAAAACCTAGACTACGAAACTTGTGAGAGACATCAAGAGTTTTAGAATCAGGTAAGATAATAGGAGGAATAGTAATAGAGTGTTTAGATTTATTAAAACAAATTAATTCAAACTTAGAAGGATTAAGTTCAAGACACATAGAGTCAGACCAAGCGATAATTGAAGAAAGACATAGAGATAGATTATGAAGAACACTATTTAGATTAGATGGAGGAAAAGAAGTATAATTGTAAGAATCATCAGCATATAGTTGACTAGAGAAAAAAAAGTTTTTAATAATACGAGGTAGTTCAGAGGTACAGAGTATAAATAGAAGAGGGCTAAGGATAGAACCCTGATGTACCCCGAAACTAAGAGTAGAAGAGTTAGAAGTAGAATTATTGAGAACAACAGAAGAAAACCGATTACAGAAATAAGAAAAAAACCAAGATAGACAAGAATCAGTAATATTAAAAGAAAGAAGTAGCAGTCTCAAGAGAATAGCATGATCAACAGTATCAAAAGCCGAGGAAAAGTCAAGGGCAAGAAGAAGAGTAGGATTACTATTGTCACTAGAGAGAAGGATACCATTGTGTATTTTGAGTAAAGAAGTTTCAGTACTGTGAGCAGGCCTGAAACCAGATTGAGATACAGGTACAGGTAGCAAGGAGTAAGAGTTTAAATAAGATGACAATTGATTAAAAATTACTTTTTTCTATTATTTTAGAGATGAAAGTAATATTAGTAACAGGTCTATAATTAGATAAAGAGATAGGATCTAAGGATAAGTTTTTAAGAATAGGAATAACAATAGAATTCTTATAAAAAGTAAATAATTTGGAGGTGGAAAGAGATAAATTAAATAATTTGAGAATGATTAGATAAAATATTAAAAAAAATTCTTTAAGTAAATTAGAAGGAAGTAGATCTAGAGAACAGGTTGTAGCTGACATAGAATTAATAATTAGATCTAGAGAACAGGTTGTAGCTGACATAGAATTAATAATTTTAGTAAGTTCTAGAAGATTTGTTGGAGTAAATACAGAAAAAGATTCAGTAGTAAGTTTAGTAAAGTTATGAGTAGAAAAATTAGAATTAGATGTTCTTAAAGTAGTAATTTTATTTACAAAAAAAGATTTCGAAAGCTTTTTGTTTAGTTTTTCGACTTTTCTAACG